CAAACTGACCCATACCCAGACACTTAAAACATATTCAATGCTTTGAAAACTAGTCGCCGAAAAAGATCAAATAGAAAACCGACGAATATTGATGTGTAGCGTACGCTTCAGTTGGAATCAATTTTCCGTGCATTCGATCACTCATTAAAATGTGATTTAGTTTAGGTGAAGTTTCACCAATTCACATTAATATGCATCCAAAATATGTAGGAGAATACTAATGCATTAGATATTTTCATATTTTTCTTAGTCCTGTTAAGCTCACATAAATGAACGAATCGTATCAATCGAATGCATCTATATTTCATCGTGAAGGGTATTTTTTTTCCGAATGATTCTGATGTACGTCAGCGCTGACAGCACTAGGACTTATTTCTATTCAGGTCATCTGCCAACATCATAAGAATGAGAAGCTGACCTGATATGTAGAGGCAACTACTCCCGCTTTTGTCACAAACTCGGAAAGAAACTTATCATTGCGAAAACGATAGTAAAACATTTCACGGGTCTCATGGCCACTCGCGATGGGCACGTTTATGCATCATGATATTATGTGGGTCCACAGCATTGCATCGATGGTATACTGATTTACTACAGTTCTGTCGCAAGTGCAACTGATCTCTATACAGTGTGAAAATACAGCGGATCATTTGGTTGTTGCATGACGACTGATGGCTGGACCTTTGAACGCAAGGCGTTCATCACATGCTTCTGATTCTATGTTCGTCACTTTCAAAATACAGTATTGTTCATAGATATGAAACCGATAAATTATCGAATTCTCCGATAGCAGCGAGAAATCGAAGATTGTGGGTGTAGGTGGGTTTGGGGTGTGAGTGCGGTCGTTGCTGTGGGTGTACATTTGAGTATGGAAGCGTATGAGAATATGGGTGCTGATCAAGATGTTAGCAATAATCTTTCGCATCTGTCCACACGCCCAATGGAGAAAAAGTAGATACTGATGGGTTTTTGAGTTATAATGGTTTGTAGAAAAGATTTATCGAAATGTGCCAAAAACTGTCACAATCCATCGTAATCGACTATAATTCAATAGAATCGATCAGAATCTATTAAAGTCACTCAGAACTCAGCGAAAACTCATAGACTTTACAATAATATAAAAACGATAAAGAAAACGTGAATTCTGATGGGTTCTAAAAACACGCAAAACGCATCATGATATGCTAAAATTTAGGATATGGGATGAGGTATGGGTATGAATTTTGTCTTAATCCATTCCGACATAACCACATTCACCCATACCCACCCTTACCTATATCGACACCTATATGTTTTTGTCGAAATATAGAGTACGTGATAGAAAACAATCTGTGAATATTAAAAAAATATTTCTAGAGTCTAGTTTGATCGTCACTTATTTTGCTCATTGTAGATCTACTGAAATGCTTACATCGAACACAAGTATTATATTGGCATCACGCTTGCTGTCTGTTGTGTTCTTGCACTTATTCCGATAGGTTATACTGTTTTTACTTTATATATTTATCAGCATAAGTAGCTAATGCATGTTGCAAGTTCAAATTGACAGCAGACTTATTTTACAACATTTTTATTCTTTACTGTAAACGTCATCATCACAATGACTAAAATATTCATATTTTCTCCTTTAATGCAATTTATTAATATATAAAGAATAAATTAATTCTATGCTTTATGTAAAATAAAGTTTGTCATTGATTAGATTTTCAAAAGGTTAATTCATTCTTACTGATGAAAATAAATAAACGTTAATGCATTGTATGTTAAAAAAATGAAAAAATCTAAACAAATAAACAGAAAAGTTTTGCTATCTATATACAAGAACATTTTCTTTCTTGTTTGGAATCAAGAAAAAGGAACAAAAAATTAATTAATTAATTAAACAGAAATATAGCATATCTCTCGAAGCACTTCCATTATCTTTCGTACGATTGATTTTAAGAAAAGCTTTGATCACAATCTCGAAGCTTCCCATATTCAAGTTATTTAAAACAGAAGTATACAGAAATTTACTTGGATCGTAGTCCTAAATCTAATAGTTGTTTCGCCCGAAAGAAGACATAGAAAAGTTTGTTTCACTGAATTGTACTGTGACCTGTAATTTTTTCTAATATTGAATTATTTATTTATTGCACTGCTCTATGCGTATTTTTTTTACATATGAAAAAGACATGATAACGGTTTTATTCCCTTTTCTGAAAGAACGAGAATTGCACGAAAAATTTTTCGTATACTTATCTGTCCGACCAATCAGAATTCTGTAAAAATTAACTCTCTTAAACTCCAGATAAGTCATAGAATAGCCTTTGCCAACTAATAGGGAGCGTTGCTAAATTTTCTTACTGGTACAGGCAACTCTGCTTTAGCCGTATTATAAGATAATTGATTCTATTTGAATACCGGTTGACTGAAATAAATTAACTGTTTTTTTATGAAGTTTGATCAAAGCTTTTCAAGATCGAGAATTCTAAATTTGTAATCAGCTTCTCGAAACATTGTAAATTCACATATACTCTGTTACCCACTGTTGAGTAACTAGTAATGTAACAGTAACTTCACTTTCCTAACCATGACGAAAAGGGTTTCTTCTTGATGAAATCCAGACAGACCAATTAGAAGTGGTACTTCATAATCAAATTTATTATACTAATGTATTCTTGAAATATTAATTGGCTACTGAAGGAAAGAAAAGAAAACATGAAATGATTAAAAACACTAATTTTAAATAGAATGATATTGTGTAAATGAAGACAAAAAAATTAGTCAGCTCACGAATATTGAGTAGAACTTTTTTGTTTCATTCCTTTTCAATTTGCTTCATAAGACACTTTGCTGGCTTTGTCCTCTATCGATTGGCAAAATCCAGTTCTCAAGCCCTTTTGAGTACACCTATCGATCAATTGTTCTATGGATACTACTTTTCAATCATACATTCACGCCGTATGGGTCAAATCTATGGTTTTTTTCTAATATAAATGGTAGTAGCAATCAAGAATATTGAGTATTAATACTAAAAAATTCATAGGTCTATAAGTTTTTAGAATTCTCTTACATCCATAACGATTACTCGTATAGAAAAATGGCTTGTCAGTTGAGTCCATTTAGAAAGAAAGTTTGGAACTCAAGTCTTTTCCCAGCTCCATAATACTAATACAAAATATCTGAATTGAAAATCTCTAATGGATGAGTGTCTTTTCAAAAATAATCGTTTGACAGACAAACGATCTGTCTTATTTATATCTGAAGGGACAAATAAGTGATTCCATTATTTTCAATCAATTTCAAAAAAAGAAAAAGAAACATTTCAATCGGAAAAGTCAGTTTAATCAAAGAAATGAATCGAAATCATCAAAGTTTTTTCTTTTTCTTGTCCAGACATGTGCTATTGCTTCCACAGACATATATATTAGGGATATTTCAGAAGTTTAGAAGCGATTTAAAAAAATCCATTGTTCGTGTATTCGAGTAAAGCAAAGCTTTTGCTATTTAAGGAGATTATTGAACCTATTTAGTACCAAATGATTACAAAGTTTCAATCGATTGAGAGAAGATACACGCCTACACTCTGATCTAGAACCCGTAGTCTTTGATTAATTTTAGGACATTACTTTCTGTTGGTTTCTATTAATAAACCAAACAAAAGCGGTCTTTCTAGTGAAACATTGTACTTTTCTATATTGTTTTTAGTAATTTTTATTAGTTTTGAATATTCATATTTGATAGAAGTATTATCAAAACTATATTTTGAGTAAATAATTATTCATTTTATCCTGACAATTGAGAAATATGATTGCAGCTTACATGTTGCCGAACATTTTTCATCGAAACATGACCTGAAACAGTATATTTAGTTCAGACATAAGATAACTTATCCTTCATTATAAAGCACTATAGTCGGAAAAATGTTAGCGAGTAATCATGCTGGGTGATATCTGTTTGCATCAATTAAAAACATTCTTTTGGACTTTCAATATAAACGTTCTACCTCTATTATCAGTAATGTTGATTCAAATGATTACAAGAGTTAATTTTTCACAAAGTTAAATATTACTACACAATTGAAACGTAGCTGTCTTATCTCAATAGTTGCAGAATTATTGTCAAGGATAATTCAAAATTTTCGAGAATTGGATAAATTGTTTTTCATCAATAGTCCTTGATGATAAGGCTTGATGTTCATAGGAGAGTAATTTCAGAACAGAACTAAGATGAACAATAGTAATAAAATTCATGTATTTCAGTTATATTTCTTATACTATTTAATAAGTCTTTGCTCAAAATGTTCAATTTATTCATCTCATCAAACCATATAAAAGACTTACGTATCCGTTTCATATATGGACTTCATTCATTAGAACATTGTGTTCAAGCACAGTAAGTATTTATACTCTCTTGTTCTTGTAATTTCAAGCAATATTTACAATTTTTTTTCTGCTTATTAATAGATAGAAAGGATTGAAACGTCTATATGATCTTGTACAGCAAAGACAACCAGCGAAATGATTGTACTGAATCTGTGTTTCGAAAAAGATCGATGTGGATATGCATAAAGAAGAGATCTATATCCATTTGTTAGACTCTCCATAGTTTACCAAGTGCCTACTTTTAAATTCTGAATTTTGCAGCGCCTCTTTCTATTCTATATCTATAGTTAAACATTACAAATGGACTTTGCTACTATATAATAATCAAAATATTCATGTAGAGTTAATAATTTTTTGTCATTATCAAAGTTGTTTGTCGTTTGAATAAGATTGACTAACTCTGTGTACTTTTAATGATATTATTTAAAAAAAGCAAAAAAGTACAGATGGATCTTTCGAGAAAAACAGAAAGCAAAATGACCAAAAAAAAAGAACGTTGAGTGACGACATTGATAAAGTTAGATAATAAATACACATATCTATAAGAAGAGAAAAAAAAACGAAGCATTCTAAATTCGATCTTGCTTTTCGTTTATTCTGTTTATTAGATTAAATTAATTTTAATATTCGAACAACATGTATCAAAATTTTTCTGTTTCTACAAGTTTTGGATTAGTAAAATCTTTTGAGTCTCTATTTTTTCTTATGAAATTTAAAACTTTATTCTTTTTATATTAGCCTGTACCTTATCAAACACCAATATCACCACCACTTTCAGTTGGTACACAAATTCATGTTAGTGGTACACCTACTGGTAGTCGGTAAATTAATTTATTTTAACTTTATGTTTTTATATATCTTTAATAATCTAGATTCGAAGTCAATCTAAAAAATTATCAGGATGATATTGTCCTACACTTCAATCCACGTTTTGATGATTATGCACTCATACTAAATAGCGGTATAATATGAAAAAAATTATAAATGTGCTCTAAGAATTATTGTATGATCTTGTTATATTTAGCTCAACGAGGTGCATGGGGTCAAGAAGAGCGTCAGTCATTACCAATGCAACGTGGAATTCGATTTACATTGGTTATTATGGCTACAAATAATGGTTTTAATGTATGTCATATAATGTTTTAATAAGGAAATTTCAATTTTGTCTTTCTTTCAAATATACAAAAGATTGCTGTCAATAATTCTCATGTTTGTGAATTCTATCAACGAATACCAATGCATTTAGCCCAATTAGTCGAAGTTAAAGGTGATATTAATTTAGAATCAGTTCAAGTTTATGCAGGAGGTATGGGTAGTTCGATGGGTTTTCCGTCAATGGGATCTAACATACCCTTCGGTCAACCATCGTTTGGTGGAGGTTTTAACGTTGGTTTCGGATTTCCATCAGCTCCTCCTGTCATTGCAACACCCTCTTTTCCAGTACGTATTTTCTTTTAATGTTGTTTTCTTTCACAAATTCTTATTTCAATAATCTCATATAGATGGGAGGTGGTGTACCATCCATACAATCATGTAGAATACATACTGGCTCTCGTATTTTTGTTCGTGGTTTTATTCCTCCTGGTGCAAATCGATTTGAACTTAATTTATTACAAGGATATACAGATAATGATGATATTGCTTTTCATTTTAACCCGCGTTTTGATGTACGTACAATTGTTAAAAATCATCGACGAAATGGTCAATGGGGTCAAGAAGAAAATCAACCATTTCCATCCTATATGCCTTTAATGCCAGGTACACAAATTGATTTACAAATTACATGTAATCCAGACAGATATACAGTAAGAGATAAATATTTTTATTATTTATTAAGACAAAAAAAAACTAAACGTTTACTTTAGGTATACATGAACAACAGTCTTATTGCTGAATTTTATCACAAAATTCCACCTGGATTTGTAAGTGTTATCGCAAAATGGATATATTTATTTTTTTTAAATCGAAATATATGTTTAGGTTATGGCTCTTCAATATAAAGGCGATATCACAGTTACAGGTGTTGGTCAATTGTGAAAAGATATTACACGTTTTATTATTGATTGTTTTTCTTTTGAAAAATGCTTAATTCAATTTAAATAATTTATCGTATGTTTTTTTTAATGAAATAAATAAAAGACTTGAGCGATATCTTGAAAGTACTATCTTTATTGATTATGGCACACTCAACAATTCTTCACAGAAAGAAGTTATTTATATAAAAAGAAAAACTTGTAGCTTGTACTTTTGAATCATTGAGAATCCTATTGATAATTAATTCTTATTTTTGTTATTTTTTTTTTACAATAAATTCACTAATTATTCAGATGCACAATTATAACAATTTTACATTAAAGCATAGCACTCTGGATTGATAGACATCCTCTTGCTCAAACTTCTTGTCATTGACTACACTAATCATTTCAAACTATTCCTAATGCAAAATAGTACAATGAATAGTCATGTTCATAGGGATGCAACAAATCCTATTTTTCTACATAAAGATTGTAAATTTTCGGTATGAAGACCGATCAAATCCTACCAAATCTTTGTGTCGATTATAACCAGTTTTATTTGCTCTATTCGATAATGGTATAAAATGACCAAATCTAACCAAGAAACATCTAAGATTTGGTAGGATTTGGTGAAAATATGACAGTTTTTACCAAATGTTGAAAGTTTATTGGTTAGATTTGGTCATTTTATACCATTATCGAGTAGAGCAAATAAAACTGGTTATAATCGACACAAAGATTTGGTTGGATTTGATAGGTCTTCATACCGAAAATTTACAATCTTTATGTAGAAAAATAGGATTTGTTGCACCCCTACATGTTCATTTTTCGAAATTTTATCGAAAATTCTGTCTTTGAATTCTGTTCGTATGTATTGTGACAAAACGTCCTATTCACCCACACCCTAAAAATATTGTTACACTCGATAATCTCTTTTACTTTTCAAAATCTAAGATATGACGATGTAAAAAAAACCACTATCATTACGAGTGTAATAGAACTAAAACTGTTGTGTTGATCATGTCTTTTCTCTTTTTTTCTCAGGCCACTATTGTTGTCCTTCTGATAACATTGTTGATTAGTATGAAGGACCACGAAGTATCTATGTATGCTTGACTATATTTTTTTTTTCTTGTCGCTACCTTGTTTGATCGCCGAGATAAGATTTCAATGTAGTGAATAAGTATGTTGTCATCTTATCTTCTTCTCGTTTCTTCTCTACCATCAAATACTAGATTATATAAATTAAGTAATTTTTGCTTATACGTTACTTCTTCACATACTTACCACAAAGTGAACAACTCTTCAACACTTACTATTTAGCTAAAGATGGGTCAAGTGTGTAGAAAATTTATATTTGAGTCTTAATTAAATCTATTTATCTATATTTTATCTTCTAGCAAACTGGTCATTTTCAACATTATGTAAGTTCTTATTTAAAAAAATTTTATATCTATTATTTCGATGTATCTCTTATGTATAGACTGTTCCTTACGAGGCACAAATTTCACCACCAATTAGCTATGGTACTCAAGTACATGTTTATGGTGTTGCAACCGGTGATCGGTAAGTATATATTTTTTCTTCAGTAATATTTTATTTGATTAAATATTTATCAAGATTTGAAGTCAATTTGGCTAATCGTCGTGGTGATATTGTTTTACATGTCAATCCACGTTTGAATGATCGTCAATTAGTGTTAAACGCTGCACCTGGTGGTGGTTGGGGAGGTGAAGATCGTAAACCATTAAGTATAATGCGTGGTCAACAATTTAGTATTATCATTATGGTTACAGAACAATGTTTCAAAGTAAAAAAAAACCATAAATAAAAATAAAATGAAAAAAATTTTTGTTTCCATTTTTAATTTTTAAGATAGCTGTTAATAATCAACATACAGCTGATTTTTATCATCGAATACCATTTACTGCAGCTGAAATGGTTACTGTTAAAGGTGATGTTCAGTTAACAAATGTTCAAGTTTATCCAGGCATGACTACCAATTATGGTCAACCATGGCGCTTTGCTATGGTTAGAATCTTTTATTTCATTTATGTTTGTATATTTATATCAAACTTGTTGTATTTTTATAGGAAACTCCAGTACCGATGAATGTTTTTCCTGGTAAGATACATTTTTTATTATTAATAAATTTATTATTATTGATAATGTTTAGGTCGTGTTATAAATATTACTGGTCGTGCAAATAATAATGCATCACGATTTGAATTTAATTTATTAACAGGAAATTATAATGGAGCTGATGTTGCATTCCATTTTAATCCACGTTTCGATCAACGTGAAGCAGTACGTAATTCATGTCAAGGTGGTGGATGGGGAGCTGAGGAAAAACAAGGAGGATTTCCACTACAGCCTGGTCAACAATTTGATATTCAAATAATTTGTTTTCCAGAGCATTATCAAGTACGAATGAAAGATTAAAGTTTTTAATATATTTATTTTTATTATATTATTGTCTAGGTTAATTATAATGGTCAACCATGGTTCACATTTCGACATCGTTTACCATATCAACAAGTACAAGCATTACAAGTCAAGGGTGACGTTGCAATTACAAATGTCTATGCTATGTAAACAGACATTTAAATCATATATAACATATTTTAATAATAAAATAATTAAATTGCTTGTAGAATTTTAAAACCAAAAGACTTTTAATTGTCAATATAAATAACAAAAATATTTCGATTATAGAGAGAGTGTGGGTGAATAGAATAACATTAGCATTACCTTGAAATCACCATTCTTCGCGAGTGCAGCAATCAAACTTTGATTACATTTAAATTTTCTTTTCAAAAATGTCAATTTATCTTAAGTCATAAGAGTGAAGATCAGTTCGATTAGGATTGAGCAATTTAATAGAACATGAGATCGGGTTACAGAAGTAACAAATGGTATTGTTACCATCACTGCGTTTCATTTCAGCGTCATCAACAACCAATAAATGTCTATTTAGCGAAACTAATGCGATTTTAGAAACAGAAAAACACCGAGAGAATTTCGACTTACTTGTATATTTTTGTCGAATTCGAGACAATCTCTTTCGTTTTTGTTGCTGTGTACGCAAGAAACTAAATAATATACTTCTTCACATGAAATAAATGTTTGAAAACGGCACTATGACTATCAAAGTATCTGCTGAATAACGATTTGCTTAGATTTGGATACAGATATCAAAAAAAAAATTGCCGATCCTGGTTCGATTGCAAATATTCATACCAACTTGGATAAAAAGAATAATTTCCCTGTGATTAGAGAGAGTGCCTACATCGTGTTTCACACATTAGTCTCACAGTGATTGTGTTAATAGCTATTTTTTGAAGGAATCTTCTTCTAAGATTCTTCCATAAATAATTTGAGATCTCGATATCAGTGTTTAAGAAACAAGAAAGAAGTCATTTATTCATAGAACAATGCAGAAAAAAAAAAACTTCGAAAGTTTATTGAATATATTTAATTTCATTCAAAATGTGCCATTTAGATTCTTACCTATTTATATTAAAAGCATATTTACAAATTTCAAAATTTTTTCTATTGTATTGTCTTATAATGAGACACTCCTTTTATGAAAATCAAATTCAATAAAATCATTACAATAGTTCTAATTATCTTTGCTTAAAGTATAATTTTAGCTGAAAATTTCCATGTTAGCTCATCACGAATTATATTATATAAAGGCTTTTTTCCTCTCAGTTTAACACAAAACTAATTATATATTGAAAAACTCTTTCATAAAGAGTAAAATACAAATTCTTCATTTTTAATATACAACAAATCATAATTTCTATTCTTTCCACGTAGCCGAATGATATACATTATTACTTCACATTAAATTTTTATAAATAGAGTTATTTTATGAACATCAAAAAGTACCAACATTTGATAGTTTATCTTTCAGCAAACTCATAATAAATGTGTAACATTCACTCTAATTTTCTATACTACTATGAGTGCTTCCTCCAGGTTGTTATTTTATAAACTAAACTGAGAAAATTCTATTAATACCTATTTAACACGATGTAGAAATTCACGTTGCACCAAAAACAAAGTCGTAAATTTATTGACAACATTAGAGGAAATCTTATTGAATGGTTATATTTTAAACAAATGGGTTAAATTTCTGAATCCTATAGAAGAGTCTTCTGAAGAATTTGAATTCTAACAAACAACCAATAGTTTCGTTCTTGCTACTTCTAACAGAGCAATACACTAGAAAAATTGTGATTTCAGAAAAAAATCTATAATTCTTCAATAGATTAGACCTGAAAGGGCAAACAGTACAATCGTGAATTATTTAGTATTGCTTTGTGTACAAAAAACAATGATTTAAATTTTTCAAATCCTTCACTTTTCTTGACTGGAGTATTCTGAAATATTATTTACATTCATCCTGAATTTGATAGCAGTTGTAATAAAACTGTAAACAAAATAAAAGAGAAAGTGAAAGTAGAATTGGATCTAGTTTTTATATACTCATTGGCTTCCAATTTCCTGCATACTATGGTATCCGCTACTATATCCATCTTTTTTTGTTTCTTTTTCTAACAATAAACACGCTAATCATGATTATGTTCTTTGTCAACCTGTCAAAGAAACACAGATTCATATTTTCCAACAAGCAGTCGAATTATTAATCATTTTATTACAATTTTCAAGTAGACAGTATGCTAAAGTACACTTAATATATTTTTTTATGTTTCTAATCAGTTATGTAAGAACATGAATATTCGAGTGAAACAATAAAGCAAGTAAAAAACCCACTGAAAAATTTCTCAGTGATATGATTCATACATGGTTATACTCTATATTTAGCGATGTCAATAACAGAAGAGCATACTTCTGCGTAGAAAACGAATAATAAGTGCATAGATATACAGGTGATCAAAGAACCATAGACAAAGCAAGAAAGGAATGTGGTCGATCGTTTATTCTTTTCATTGGGTACGTCGATCATTTGACGAGAAGAAACGAGGTCAACTCAATTCATACGAACAGATACCA